TATTCGGGCTATAGGGCTACATACGGCTATAGGGCTTTAGGACCATAGGGCTATAGGGCTATAGGGCTATCGGGCTATGGGGCTATGGGGCTATTGGGCTATTGGGCTATTGGGCTATAGGGCTATACGGCTATAGAGCTATAGGGTTATAGTGCGATAGGGATATAGGGCGATTGGGCTATTGGGCTATAGGGATATAGGGCTATTGGGCTAGGCACCCCTGGGCACTTCTGGGCACCCCGGGCACCCGGGCACCCCTGGGCACCCGGGCACCGGGGCACTCCCGGGCACCCCCGGGCACCCGGGCACCCGGCCCCGGCCACCGAAATCGGCCACACACCTGGGCACCCAGGCACCCCCAGGCACCCCTGGGCACCCGGGCACCCGGCCCCGGCCACCGAAATCGGCCGCCCACCTCACCTCAGCTTTATATCCGCTAGGACCCCTACAGAGGCAAGCTCTGATTGGGGAATGAATCCGCTAGGGCCCCTACAGAGGCAAGCTCTGATTGGGGAATATACACGTGTGTTCTTAAAGCAGAAAAGACAATATCGAAAGCCGCCTCGGAGACCAAGGTATTAACGACGGCCGCATCACGCTCATCGCGGAAACATTCGAAGGCATCGCACGCTCCCTTTACCCCACAGACGTGCGGGATACTCCCAGACGGAATCCTTCAACATGGAAATAAACCCGCTACCCACCAGTCTGGGATAACGCGCTGGCACACAAGGAGGACAACGCCCCGCGGTGGAACCACCTGGTCCCGACCTCTTCGACGACCTCGGCGACCCCTGGCTGCATTGCTGCAACACGCCGCCGTTTCTGCCGCTGACGACCTTGATCATCTTAGTCTCGGAGCCTCCCCGAACGGCGAAGACGACCGCGTCCACGCACCACAGAGACGTCATGCCGCCCACACGGCCGAAGGACACGCCCACGGAAGTGGCAGTGCCCCGTCCCAGCTGAGAGGCGACCTGCGCATGCATGGTACGTGGAGGGGTCGCGGACTGCGCCCCGTGGGCCAGCACCGCCGCCCCAACCAGCTGGGCTGACCAGTGCTACAGCACACCAACCCCCCCGACGCAGTGCTTCCTGTCACCAGACGCCTCTCCCGTCCCACCAGGGAGCGGGGACTACAGGCCCTACTACCACCCACCAGGGTGCTGGCAACCGAATGACCCCAGAGCATCGCCTCGAGTGGAGGAGCGCGCCTCACGCAGCACCACATTGCGGCCAGTGGCCGGCGACAGGAGGACCGCGAGACAATTCTCACCGCCAGCATTCAAGCACTTAGCCAGCGCCCCTCTATCAGGCACACGAGCAGTCAGCACCAGTGATCGTACGGTTCCATCGTGCACAAAGGCCTGGGGGTTTACACAACGTGCTTTCCACCCTAATGCGACCAGAAGGACCACCCTATCAGGTTATCTCCAGGACCTCTTCGGCCCCCAAAGGGCGGTGCGCCAGCGCTAGCCTCCTTCCACGCGGGCCGCGAGAACAGTTGGAACTTGTTCCGTTGTCTGCCTCTCCTGGGCCGCTGCGGGGGATGCCCCAAAGCGGCGCCTCTTTTCGCAGGGCGTCGAGGCGTGCATGCATGTGCGCGCCAACGTACGCTTAAAACCGGCATCCCCCTGCGTGCGGTGGCGCAATCGGGCCCCCGTGGGTCTTATCACCACCGACAATTATTTGTCCTAGCCGGGGACCCTTTCGCCCGCGCCAGGGGGGAGGTCATCCCACCACTTCTTTATAGCATGCCAGACCTCCCGCTTTGTAAGGCGGGTCCGTTCGGCACGTGTAGCCGTAAGAGTCTGAACAGTGACACTGTCCGAAGTGGGGCGCCCTCCTCTCCCCTCCTCCTGCTCCTCCTTCGCCTCCTCCTCCTCCTTCTCTTCCCTTTCCTCCTCCTCCTCCTCCTCCTCCTCCTCCTCCTCCTCCTCCTCCTCCTCCTCCCCCTCTCCCCCTTCCCCCTTGTCCTCTTCCTCCTCCTCCTCCTCCTCCTCCTCTGTTTTCTCCTGTACCTCCTCTCCCTCCTCCCCCTACTCCTCTTCTCTTTTCTTCTCCTCGCTCGCCCGCCCGAAACTAAAGGCGCAAAGGCTGTTGAGTTCGCAGCCTATTCAAGCAGATGCCTCTCCTTCTCCTTCTGCTCCTCCCCCTCCTCCTCCTCCTCCTCCTCCTCCTCCTCCTCCTCCTCCTCCTCCTCCTCCTCCTCCTCCTCCTCCTCCTCCTCCCCCTCCCCCCCCCTCCCCCTCCTCCTCCTCCTCCTCCTCCTCCTCCTTCCTCCTCCTCCTCCTCCTCCTCCTCCTCCTCCTCCTCCTCCTCCCCTCCTCCTCCTCCTCCTCCTCCTCCTCTCCTCCTCTCCTCCTCCTCCTCCCCTTCCTCCTCCTCCTCCTGCTCCTCCTCCTCCTCCCTCCTCCTCCTCCTCCTCCTCCTCCTCCTCCTCCTCCCCCGTCCCATCCCCCTGCGCGCTGCTCTCCTCCGCGCCTCCCCGCGGTCTCCTGGAGAGGGGACCGACATACAGGCCTCGGACAAAATAGCGAACACTCATGTCATATTCATCGGTCAACGCCTCCCCCTCCCCCAATGTTCAAAGTTGGCGGTGGGTCAGATGAATTGCGCTTCGACCGCAATCTCCTCCGCGCGTGCCAACTTTGAGTTTGGGGGAAAAGGGGGGTGTCCACTAGTTGTTTTCCCCTACGGTATGGAGGAAAGGGAGAAGGCGAGTCGGCAAACCAGGAGGGATGGAGGCGGAGGCTGGGCCAAAGGCCCACCTGTGCAGAACAACCGGCCACCTCGATCCTGACAAGCCGCCGGGCGCGTCGCCAGGCTCGAAGCCAAAAGTGACGGCCCTCCAGAGACGTGTGCGGGGGGTGCGCTCTCGCCAGGAGCTCGATAGGAATGTGTCCGTGGCGGCGATGAGCATCCGTTAACAAATCCCCTCTCACACTTGCACGGCCTTGGCCCCACTGGCCGATTTCCTCCCCTCGATGGGGATGCATGCCGATGCGGTCCGGTGGGCACTCTAAGCGGCGGCCCGTCGCGCAGCCCGCGCTCTACGAAGGGCTTGGGGGAAGGCACCACTCGCCGGGCCCGGTGCGCACTGGTGGAAACACGCATCGGCGGCCCGCCGCGAGGCCCGCGCCGCAGTCGCAGAGCGAAAGATGGATCATTTTCGTTTGAAGTGCACACTTCGGCGCCGACAGAAGCGCAAGATCGCCGAGCCCTCGGGCAGTGGCGTGGAGAATGTCTGCCTCTCTCCAGATTCCTCATGCATGCCCTCGCTCTTGGAGGCAACGTCCCGCGATACCTGCACGCAGGAGGGATGAGGGAGGTGGGGATAGGGGACGGGATGACATCAGAGGGAGGGTAATAGCGTAAGAAGCAGTGTGGTGGCAGAAAACGAGCTTTGGCGCCGACAGAGGAGCGAGATCGCCAAGCTCTCGGGCAGTGGCGTGGAGAATGTCTGCCTCTATCGTCAAATTCCTCATGTGGACACGCGAGTCCCCGCTCTTGGAAGCAACGTCCCGCGATACCTGCACGGAGTAGGGATGAGGGAGATGTGGCAAGGGATTGGATGGCATCATAAGTAGGATAATAGCGTAAGAAGCAGGGTGTTCGCAGAAAACGAGCTTCGGCGCCGACAGAAGCGCAAGATCGCCGAGCCCTCGGGCAGTGGCGTGGAGAATGTCTGCCTCTCTCCAGATTCCTCATGCATGCCCTCGCTCTTGGAGGCAACGTCCCACGATACCTGCACGCAGTAGAGATGAGGGAGATGGGGATAGGGAGGGGATAGCATCAGAGGGAGGGTAATAGCGTAAGAAGCAGTGTGGTGGCAGAAAATAGCTTCTGCGCCGACAGAGGAGCGAGATCGCCAAACCCTCGGGCAATGGCTTGGAGAAAGTTTGCCTCCTTCGTCAAATTCCCCTATGTGGACACGCGAGTCCCCGCTCTTGGAAGCAACGTCCCGCGATACCTGCAAGGAGTAGGGATGAGGGAGGTGGGGCAAGGGAGGGGATGGCATCATAGCGAGGATAACAGCGTAAGAAGCAGGGCGGTCGCAGAAAACGAGCTTCGGCGCCGACAGAGGCGCAAGATCACGAGCTCTTAGGGAGAGGCGTGGAGAGTGTCTGCCTCTCCACGAGCTCGTCTGAATGAAAGTGGCAAAGCACTCCCTCCCTTTGGGAGGCAGCGTTCCGCGAAACCCGCGGCGAGTTGGGAGAGGGGAGTGGGGCGCGGGGAGGAGAGGGCATCAGAGTAGGAAGGAAAATTGTGGGAGGAACGTGCTGGTCGCAGAAAAAGCCTTCGGCCCGACGCAGGCGCAATATCGCCTACCCGTCGGGGTCTAGGGAGGATTCTGTCTGCCCACGGTGTGTACGGGCCAAAAAATTGTGAAACAAATCATGTCACGTTCAGGGGTGTGCGGCGCCGCGGACCGAGAGTGGTCCTTACAAAATAATGGGAGGGGTGGACACCAGGAGCAGCACGAGAGCTAACAGCCCCCGACAACTCTTGCTCGCTAAAGAACATGTCCGGCAGTTTGCTCTGAGCGAGGAGGAGAGAGGAGGAGGAGGAGGAGGAGGAGGAGGAGGAGGAGGAGGAGGAGGTGGAGGAGGAGGAGGAGGAGGAGGAGGACGGCGGAAGCACGCCAGGCTCGACCATGGCGGGACCAATCGCGAGTAGGCCTGTACGTCCAAAACAAGACTTACAATCGATACGAATTCACCCAGAAGACGTATCATCCCCGAGCCGACTGGCCGAGCGCGAATGGCGCTGGAGACCAGCATGTTCAACGCAAGGCTTCAGTCAATCAGACTGAGAGAGGCCTCGAAAAAGCTCAGTTATGAAGCGCGCACCTGGGCAGCCAGTCCCACATGCTCGCGAGCTTCGAGGGAGCCCTGCAAGGGATCAGGGCGAGAAGCGGGCGTCCTGCCCGGAGCAGGTGTGCAGGCACCGCCCAGACACGGCGGACCACACCTTCACCGAGGAGTCGAAGTGGACCGTCAGGAGCTCCTTGCGGGGAGAGCGTGTAGCGCAAAGAGGTGGACGGCTCCAGCGTGGGACCCCCAACAGCGACTTGCGCAATACAGGTGAAGCGCGGAGCACCGCATGCGCAATGCGAGCGCAATGCACATGCAATGCACATGACACAGAAATCCGATCAGAACGCACTGCGAGAACAACAGCGTTCAAAGCGCGCGCAATGCATCTGCAATCCGCCGACCACAGAAGGCGTGTGCGATCAACCTTTGCACCTGTCCGCCGTCAACTTCGAGCGTCTGTTTTAACGATCCCTCGCCCGACAAATTCTCGCCCGGATCCGACCCTGACCCCCTCCTCGGCCCCCACCAAGTTGGACACCTTCGTCAGCTGGTTCCTGGAACCTTGTTCCGTAGCAGCCCCCTCCCCGACCCTCCACCACGGCCGATACCGCCTACCTCCTGGAGCCTTGTTCTGTGCTCATTTTGCATTAATTTTCGGGCCACCCACCCAACACAAATCCGTCCGGCACCCCCCTTCCCGACCCTCCGCCACGGCCGACATCACCTGCTGCCTGGAGCCTCGTTTTGTAGCCACTTGGCGTTGGTTTTAGGGCAACCCACCCGACAAAAATCTGTCGGGCACCCCCGTCCCCGAACCTCCATCACGGCCGACACCGCCTGCTTCCTGGAGCTTTGTTTTGCAACCAACTTGCGTTAGTTTTAAAGCCAACCATCCGTCAATAATCCGTCCCGCATCCCCTCCCCGACCCTCCACCACGGCCGACACCGCCTGCCTCCTGCGAGCCTTCCCTCCCTGACCCCCACCGCGGCAGACCGCGCCTGGTTCCTGCAGCACTGTGCAGTAACCACATTCTACGAACTTTCCAACCACCCACCCTGCAGACATCTATCCCGCACACGCCTCGTTGACCCCCCACCGCGGCCGACCGCGCCCGGTTCCAGGATCATTGTTCCGTAGCCGTCGGGCACCCCCCTCCCCGACCTTCCACCACAGCTGGCACCGCCTGCCTCCTGGAGCCGTGCGCTGTAGCCATTCTGCGTTGGCTTTCGGGCTATTTACACGGCAAAAATCCCTCCGGCAAGCCCCCTCCCCGACCCTCCACCACGGCCGACACCGCCTGCCTCCTGGAACCTTGTTCTGTAGCCATTGCGCGTTGGTTTTAGGGCCACCCAGCCTACAGAACTACGTCCGGCACCCCTCTCCCCGACCCTACCCTGGGACCCCATCGCCTCTCAAAGAGGCCTCCTTTCCTCATCCTTTTCCTCCTGCTTCCGCTGGTCCTTGCCGAAATGGCTTTCAATGATCTTCTGCACCGCTGGTATGCGCGTGGAACCGCCTACCTGGAGCCTCGTTCTGTAGCCACTTGGCGTTGGTTTTCGGGCCAACCACCCGACAAAAACCAGTCGGGCACTCCCGTCCCCGAACCTCCATCACGGCCGACCCCGCCTGCTCCCTGGAAGTTTGTCCTGCAAACAACTTGCATGGGTTTTAAACCAACCATCCGTCAGTAATCCGTCAATAATCCGTCCCGCATCCCCTCCCCGACCCTCCACCACGGCCGACACCGCCTGCCTCCTGCGAGCCTTCCCTCCCTGACCCCCACCGCGGCAGACCGCGCCTGGTTCCTGCAGCACTGTGCCGTGACCACATTCTACGAGTTTTAGAGCCACCCGCCCTGCAGACATCTATCCCGCACCCGCCTCGCTGACCCCCCACCGCGGCCGACCGCGCCCGGTTCCAGGATCACTGTTCCGTAGCCGTCGGGCTCCCCCCTCCTTGTTCGGTGACCATTTTGTGTTGGTTTTCGGGCCACCTGACAAAAAGCCGTCCTGCACCCCCCTCCCCGACCTTCTTCCACCACGGCCGACAACGCCTGCCTCCTGGAGCCTTCTTCTGACACCATTCTGCGTTGTTCTAGGGCTTCCCACGCTGCAGAAATCCGTCCGGCCCCCCCCCTCCCCGACCCTCCACCACAGCCGGCACCGCCTGCTTCCTGGAGCCTTGATCTGTAGCCATTTGCGCTGTTTTTAGGACCACGTCCGGCACTCCCCTTCCCACCCTCTGCTACGGCCAGCACCGCCTCCCCTGCCTGACCCCCACCGCGGCCGCCCGCGCCGAGCTCCTGCAGCATTGTGCCGCAGCCATTTTCTAATAGTTCTAGCCACCCACCCTGCAGAAGTCCGCTTCGCGACGGCTTTAGAGCCACCCACCCTGCAGACATTCGTCCGGTACCCCCCCTCCCCGACCCTCGGGTCGGGCGAAAGGGGGGGATAGCAAAGGGGGGGTTTGAGAATCAGCTCACGTCGCTGATTTTCCCGGCGCCTCCCGGCGCCGGAGGCGGCCATGTATCGAGGACTGGGCCCCTCGGTGAGGCCGAAACCAGCTGCATGCAGCAAATTTCGTAACCCCCCCTTTCCCAATCCCCCCCTTTCGCCCGACCCGAGACCCTCTACTACGGCCAGCGCTGTCTGCCCCCTGAAACTTTGACATCTAGCCATTTACGCTGTTTTGAGGACCACCCACCGGATCAAAATCCGTCCGGCCCTCCCCTCCCCGACCCTCCATGACGGCCGACACGGCCTGCCTCCCGGAGCCTTGCTCTGCAACCATAATTGCATTGCTCTGACGGCCACCCACCCTGCAGACATTCGTCCGGCACCCTCCCCGACCCTCCACCACGGCCGACACCGCCTACCTCTTGGAGCCTTCTTCTGTAGCCTTTCCGTGCTGGTTTTAAGGCCGCACGCCGTCCGGCACCCCCTCCCCGACCCTCCACCACGGCCGACCCCGCCTGCTTCCTGGAGCCTTGTTCTGTAACTATTTTGCTTAAGTTTTAGGGCCGCCTTCCTGACAACAACGAAAGCCTGACGAAGGACCCAACCATATGCAGCTGCGAGTACCGCGATGGAGATGAGACGGAGGAGGGGGGCCCGCGGTGTCCGAAGCCCCGTGCCTTGCGCCGTGGAGAATTCCAGGGGCCTCGCGCAAGCGTCTTTTCCTCGAAATGAATCGCGGGGTCGCATGTAAACCCTGCCACTGAGGCCTTGGGTGGAGCTCCCTATTGGGCCGCGAACCGAGTGAGGTGTGGGCCGAAATGAATCGCGAGGACGCGTGTAAACTGTGCCACTGGGGCCTTCAATGGAACTCCCTGGGGGTCACGAACCATGTGAGGGGTGCGCCGAAATGAATCGCGGGGAAGCATGTAAACTGTACCACTGGGGCCTTCGGTGGAGCTGAGCTCCCTATGGGGCTACGAACCGTGTGAATGGTGTGACGAAATGAATCGCAAGGGCGCGTGTACACCCTACCACTGGGGCCTTCGGTGGACCTCCCTATGGGACCACGAACCGTGTGAAGGGCGTGCCGAAACGAATCTCGGGGGCGCATGTAAACCCTGCCACTTGGGCCTTCGGTGGAGCTCCCTATGTGCCGAAATTAATCGCGAGGACGTGTGTAAACCCTGCCACTGGGGCCTTCGGTGGACCTCCTTATGGGGCTACGAACCGTGTGAAAGGGGTGTACCGAAATGAATCGCGGGGGCGCATGTAAACCCTGCCACTGGGGACTCAGCTCCCTATGCGGCCACGAACGGCGTGAGGGGTGTGCCGAAATGAATCGCGGGGACGCATGTAAACCCTGCCACTGGGGCCTTCGGTGGAGCTCCCTATGGGGCCACGACCCTGGTGATGATGAGGATGAGGATGGATGGGGAGGAGGAGGAGAGAGGAGGGGGAAGAGGAGGAGAGGTGGAACGCGGGGCGCTGTCTCTTCAAAACGAGGACCCGACACCCGTGTGAGGGGTACGCCGAAATTAATCGCGGGGACGCATGTACACCCTGCCGCTGGGGCCTTCAGTGGAGCTCCCTGTGGGGCCACGAACCGTGTGAGGGGCGTGCCGAAATTAGTCGCGGGGGCGCATGTGAACCCTGCCGCTGGGGCCCCAAGAGGCGTCCAAGAAGCTCCAAGAGGCTCACAGAGGCCCCAAAGGGGCCCCACAAAAGCCCCAAAGAGACCCTAAAGAGGCCCCAGAACTGACCCTAAGAGGCCTCAAGAGGGCCCCAAGAGGCCAACATCGTAAATCCCACCAGCCCTTTGGGCGTGAGTGGTTTAGGAAGGGGCTCTGTTAACCTCCTTCTTCCCCTTTCAGGGAAGGGTTCATCATTGTTCCTTATAAAAGTACACCCCTCCCTCACCCGGCCGGCGCTCAACCCGGAACCATGCCGACACAATGAGGGCCCGCCCCCACCATCCATAACAAAAAACAACACAAACCGCCTCAGCCTCCACAGTTTGAGCATGCGCAGCCAACCCGATGCGGCTCCCCCCGACCATCCCTGCCAACAAAAACAAAGCAAAGCACACTTTGGGGAAAAGTCTTAAGTGATGCTCGTGAGGTCCGCGAGCACTTCGTATTGTTTTTGACAGGGACGGCGCGGGTGTCAGCATATTCTCTGCTGCGCACAGGGCTACCATCCCTGACAAAAACAATACAATATGCACATCGCGGCTACATCTGGATCATGCGCGGCCATCCCGCCATCACTGTCAAGTGGTTTTTGACAGGGACGGCGGGGGTGGTGGCGCGTGGCCTGCTGTACGCAGACCCGCCAGGCACAATGATGGGCATTGCTTTTCGACAAGGATGGCGGGTCGACGTGTCTCCCGATGTGTGCTGTCACGTGCGCAGGCGCACCTGACGCGTTCTGCACGTGCCCCGAACGTGGAGCACCTGGCGCGGCTGGAGTGTGCGGCACGCATGGCGCACTCGGAGCACGTGGCGCTTAGGCGCACCAGGCGTGCCTGGCACGCTCGGGCCCCGGGGTTGCCTTGCGCGCGTGGTGCCTGTGGCTCGCGTGGCGCACCTCGCCCAAGCGTCGCGCACCTGGGGTCGACTTCTCGGGTGATACTTATGTGTTGGGAGGGCTGGTGGGAGTGAGCTAGACGGCTTGCGGGCGGGTGGGTAGCTTGACCCCTCCCCCTCCCCCTCCCCCCAGGCCTGGAGGGGGCGTTTCCGGGGTCGTTGGAGCGTCCTTTTTCGACCCATGGGAAAGCTCAAATTTGACACCCCTCTCGAGGATCGTGGACCCGACGGGGGGGACGCACATTGGCCTCTACCCTTCTGTTGCCAGATTATCTCCCAGAAAGCCTCAAGAGACGTTTCCGCCCCCCCCCCCCCCCCCCCCCAAAGAGCCCCAGGAGTTCCCCAAGATGGCCCAAGAGAGCCCCAAGACAGGTTCAAGGGAGCTAGAAGACGGGCCCCAGAAAAGGCACAAGACGAACCAAAGGGGACCCCGAGAGGTCAATATCCTTCGAAAGCGACAGGGCAATCGATGTTGTTGGCCTTCTCGCCTTTTCACTTCCGATGGGCTCTTTGAAGGGTCACGATGGCTCCAAGATGGCTCCTGAGAGCTCCACGACGCGCCCGAGAGAGCTCCAAGACGGGCCCAAGAGGGTCCCGAGAGGCCAACATCCATCAAACACCAAGGAACTAACTCTGTGTTTGATATTCTCGCCTTTCGTTTCCGATGGGCTCTTGAAACCTCAAGGTGGGCCCCAAATGGCTCCAATATCGCCCCAATACAGGCCGGAGAGAGGCCCAAGACGGGGCCAAGATGGCCCCGAGAGGCCAAGATCCTTTGAACAACCAGAAGCAAATCACTATTGTTGGCTTGCTCGGGTTGTCGCTTCCCATCGGCTCCTCATGCCTCCAGATGGCTCCCAGATGGCCCTACTAGCCCAAGAGAGGTCCAATACAGGCCCAAGAGGGCCCCGAGATGTAAGAGCATGAGAAAAATCACAAAGGAACGTTCATGTGCTTGGTCCTCTCGTTTTTGCTTCCGATGGGCTCTTGAAGCCTTTAGATGGCCCCAGGATGGCCCAAGATAGCCTCAAGACGGGCCAAAGAGAGGCCCAAGACGGGCCCAAGGCGCCCAAGAGCGTCCCGAGGGCGAGGAGGAGGAGGAGGAGGCGGAGGACGAGGAGGACGAGGAGGAGGAGGAGGAGGAGGAGGAGGAGGAGGAGGAGGAGGAGGAGGAGGAGGAGGAGGAGGAGTAGGCGGAGGAGGAGGAGGCGGAGGAGGAGGAGGAGGAGGAGGATGGGATGACAGCTCCCGATGGTTGGTGCTCTTCGTTCGAGTGGCTGATTTAGGATGGGCTGGTGGGGATTCGCGACACATCGAAGCGGCTTGGAACATGCTTCACAAAGACGGAGGGTATTGCTCCAGGGGAGGGAAAGATACCGATGCCGCTAAACTTGCCTCGCTTCGGCCTCTTGGATGAGACACACATGATCCGACGCGTTGTCCACTGGCACGTAGAAGCGAGTTGAAACCGCCCCCTTTCTTTCACATATACTCATCTTCAGAAGCCTTCCGCCTCTTTCTTCCGCAGATCCTGCTATGTTGGGAACAGCCACCTTCCCACATGGTTCGTTGACTGCAGATACGCCAACTCTTCTGGGGTCGGCGGTAGAGGGGGCAGCCTTCAGACAAGATTGATAGGCGCATCCCATAAAGCAACACACGGCGCAACCTGTGCCCACCAAAGACTGCTGGCGCACCGCACCGGACCCATTGCACACATGGCGCAACCTGTGACCACCAATAGCCCTCGGCGCGCCAGGCAGAACCACGCGGGCGCAACCCAAGGCGCATCTTATAGCCACCAAGAACTGCTGGAGCACCACGCCGGACCCTAGCGTACGCAACCCATGGCGAAACAGCTGGCCACCACACCATCGACCACTGACAGCTCTTCAAGGAATGAGGAGCCCCTGCGTGCAAGCACAGGTTGGAGAACCACGAATGCAATGGAGGAGGAACAAGGTTTAGGTTGCGTTTCCGCTCCCCTGACTCCTGCCCGTCGGGCGAGATGGCGGCAGACATCAGGAACGACCGGTGGCCCTTCCACGTGCGCAGGCTCAGCCCGCTGGACGCGGACCACATCCTCACCGCCCCGCTCGTAGAGCCAGTCATTACCTGCTGCCCGTCCGGCGTGAAGACGGCACTGCAGACCTGGTGCTGGTGGCTCCCGAACGTCCTCAGGCACTCCCCGCAGGCGGTGGACCAGAGCTTTGCGGTCCAGTCCTCAGCATACGTGAGCACCTGCCGCTCGTCGGGTGAGAAGACGGCGTCGTGCAGGCAGCCTTGGTGGCCTGCCAGCGTATGCATGCACTGTCCAGAGCTGACGGACCACATCTTCGCTGTCTTGTCTTTCGAGGCCGTCAATGCCGTCTGCCCGTCTAGTGAGAACACGGCGGAGCGAAGGGCGTCGTCATGGCCGCTGAGCGTGCGTACGCACTCCCCAGAATCAACAGACCAAATCCTTGCCGTGTGGTCCAGAGAGGCTGTCAACACTCGCCGACCGTCTGGCGAGAACTTGGCGGACAGCAAGCCATTCTGGTGGCCCTCGAGCGTGCTCACGCATTCCCCGGAGTCGACTGACCAAATTCTCGCCGTCGAGTCCACTGATGCCGTCAAGGCCCAACGCCCGTCAGGCGAGAAGACGGCCGACACTACTGAGTCTCGGTGGCCCTCCAGCGCATGCAAGCACTTGCCTGTGGAGGCGGACCAGATCCTCGCCGTTTTATCCTTGCAAGCCGTCAGTACCTGGGTTCCCACTGGTGAGAAAACTGCTGATTCCACCGCGCCCTGGTGGCCCCTCAGCGTGGATGAGCACTTGCCCGAATCAAGCGAGACAATCTTTACCAAACGGGCGCAACAAACCGCTATGCGACGCGCCTTCACCACCACGAGCGTCAGGTGGCTGCCGCTCGTGGCTCCGATCTGGGCCAACGTGGCGCTCCTCGAAACAAAGAACGGCATAAACACACACCTTCGACGGTCCGCGCTGATTTCTTGGATCCGCGCGGCCCTCCTCCCTGGCGCGTGGAGCGCGCCGAGGGCGTTGCCGGAGGCGCCGCCAGGGGGCCCCAGCGCCGATCCGAGGACTCCGTGCGGAGCGCCGACATTTCATGTTTTCATTCCGTTCTTACTTGAGGAGGATGAGGAGGAGGAGGAGGAGGAGGAGGAGGAGGAGGAGGGGGAGGAGGAGGAGGAGTAGGAGGAGGTCCAGTGTAAAACCAAGAGCCATCATCAATGTTGGAATTCACCCTCCCTCCAAGCTCCCTCTTCATAGGCCCCCACAACGGTTCCTTTCCATTGAGGGAACTGCCTCGTGGAAGACAGTCGTTTGAACATCCTGAAACATGGTTAAACATTGTTCTCGGGATTTCAACGTCACGTATCAACCTGATTGCTGCGTCTTGACGATCCGGAATCGTGTCAGAGCGCCATTTTGGGATTACAACACCGCGAATCAACATAACTGTTGCACCCGCGTAGTCCATAATCCTTCCAAAACGCAGATTCTGGTACGTTGATCATGGGAATCAGTGAAACTCTTGAAATTTTTGAAAACGAATGTGCGCGGCGCTAAAGCGAGAACCACATTTTGAAACCACCCGCCCCCAATCCGTGAAACTCTTGCAATTTTTGAAAACGAATGTGCGCTAAGGCGAGGGCCACATTTTGAAAACCACACGCCCTCAATCAGTCAAGCTCTTGCACATTTTAAAACGAATGTGCGCGGCGTTAAGGCGAGAGCCACATTTTGAAAACCACCCGCCCTCCATCTGTGAAGCTGTTGCCACTTTTTAAGCTTCACAATCATAAATTGTGAGAAAGTCAGCGAAACGCCCTGCCCGCCCTAAAAATTAGCCTCGGGGTGCGACAGGGACAACTTCTCTATAAGGAAATTTAATGGAGGAGAAGGAGGAGGAAGAAGAGGATATTGTTATCGACCTTCAAGCTTCTTGCTTCTCCGAGCTCCCGCACAACTCCGCCGTGCCGAAGAAGACACGCCGCCTGCCACTGGTCGCGCCGCCCAGCTCCGGCGTCGCCTCGAGCACCTCGTGCAGGCCCCACGACGGCTCGGCGTCCAAAAGGGCAAGGTCGCGCCCGCTGCACGCGGCGGCCACGTGCACGCGCATGGCGTGCAGGCCCGAGGGGCTCTGGCAGCGGGAGCCCGAGGGGCCGAGAGGATCACGAGAGTCTGCGAAAGTTCCTTAGCAAGCTCGAGAGGCTCACGGCGGCGGAACGTTGGGGTCGAGCCGATGGGCTACCGGGCAGGGCGCTGCTGGGAGGGTGGAGCGAGGAGCGGAAAGACGTGAGACGCGTTCCGTTTGGCGGCGCGCACAAGGGGGTAGGGGTGGGGGGAGGGGGGAAGGCTTCTTAGAAGGGAGGGGGAGGCTCACCCTACTGTCCAACGCCAGGGCCGCAGGACGTGGCAGGCGTGGCATGAAGTCAGAGGGGGTGCGCAGGACTCCGCCCCTGAACGCGGAGCGCCAGGGCGATCGCGGGGACGTTCCCAGCGGTCCTGTTTGCCCCGTCTTCCTTTGGTGTTCGATATGCGCACTGCAGCTTTTTTTTGTAACTGCTTTTAAAGATTATCTCCTCTGTGCGTGGCCGATCCAGCCAAGCTGCGGCACCATGCTCGGGAAGTCGGGGTGGTGGTGGGGGGACCAGGGGCACCATGCCGAGGGAAGGGACGTGGGAGAGAGCGGTGCTGCGGCAGCCCCCCCCAGCCTTTCCTCCCCCCTCCTCCCCTCCTCCCCCTCCTCCCTCCCACCTCCCTCCTCCCCCCTCCCTCCTCCTCCCTCCTCCCTGCTCTTTCCTCCCCCTCCTCTCCTCCTCCTCCTCCTCCTCCTCCTCCGCCTCCTCCTCCTCCTTCTCCTCCTCCCTCCTCCCTCCTCCCTGCTCCCTCCTCCTCCTCCCCTCCTCCTCCTCCTCCTCCTCCTCCCTCCCTCCTCCTCCTCCTCCTCTTCCTCCTCCCCCTCCCTCCTCTCCTCCTCCTCCTCCTCCTCCTCCTCCTCCTCCTCCTCTCCTCCTGCTCCTCCACCTCCACCTCCTCCTCCTCCTCCTCCTCCTCCTCCTCCTCCTCCTCCTCCTGGGGGGGGGACTGGCCTAGGGTTAAGTCGGGCGTGTCCCTCTACAGGAAGAATATCCAAAACTTACCCACAAAGAATCCGGGGGGGACTGGCCTATGGTTAAGTCCCTCTCCAGGAGGAATGTCCAAAAATAGCGAAAAACTATCCCGTGGACGATGTTTCACAATTCTCCAGCTTTTGTGGGGCACGTTTTGATCTCTTTCGTCCGAAACCCGCCTGTATGGGGGACACGCCCGACCTAATCCTGGTCTTCTGAGACACTGTCAGAGGGCCTTCCCCCGAGCCCTGCCGCCTTCTGAGAAGGCCTGCCCCCTCGCTTGTTCCCCCCTCGGCGCACCGCCGACACGGGGCGCTCCCTCTGCCTCCCCCCTCGGCGGGGCGCCGCCGCCGACCGTGGCGGCGGCGGCGCACCGGAGCCTTGGAATCGGACCGAGCCGGCGGAGATCGATGCCGAACCGGACCGATCGGATCGAGATGGGCCCTCTGGTGCCTCCGGACCGATCGGATCGAGACCGGACCTGGCGGCGCCTCTGGCGCCGCCCCCAGCGCGCTCCGCGCACCAGGGAGGGGGGTCCAACGCCGATCCGAGAAACCCGCGCGGACCTCCGAGTTTTTATGCTTACGTCATGGTTCGTTCCCCTAGTGCCAGACACCACGGGTGGAGGGCCCCCCCCCGGGCTTTTACACCTGTGCCGAGGGCGTACTTCGCGTGCTCTGGCGCAGTCGGTGGCGCCAAGATTCGCACGCGGAGCGCTGCTTGCAAGCCGCTGCGGCTGCACCGTCCTTGCCGCCCTCCAGGCTCCTCCGTTCGGGATCGGGCTTCACGCTTTGCCACTGCCTGCGACTCCTTCGTCGCCGCTCTTCTGAGTGCTAGTCCCGCTGTGTGGCCCTTTCAGCTCGCGGCCGCCTAGCAAAAAGGGCTATCGAGCGAGCGGGCGAGGACCAGAGAGGATATGGTCAGGCGCAATGCAGTCCGTGGGCCCCGAGGCGTCGCGATGCTGCTCCTGTCTCGGTCGGGTTCACGGGTCCGTTCGGTGTGCTGGGCCCGCCCTGCCATTCTCTCGCCGCTCTGCTGCTGATGCTGCCTGGGGGGCATAGCTGCCTCATCGTCCTGACAGCAAGGTCATACAAAAGGAGGACCACGTGCGAGGAAGAGGCCATCGCATACGGGAGCCGCTATGACCACAGACCGCGAGCGGATCGGCGGGACCCATACTGTGGCGAAAGACGAATTCCATGACTTTCACCGTGGCCCTGTCGGAGCGCTTGGACTGCTGCGTCAAATCAGACTGTATCGTCCGAGGGGCCCGAACGAAGAGGACAGCGTCACCTTCCGTCTCCAGGCGTTCGCACGGCAGCGACAGGTCACAGCGGCGAGCTGTGAGCAGCTCTCCTGATCGGAGGGGCAGCGAAGCCTGCCGAACAGGAGGCCAGCCATGACTGTCCAGCCCGAGGCGAGACTGAGGGCCACCAGTCCACGCCACAGTGCACGAGGAAGAGGTGGACGGAGCTGAGTTGGCGTCGCAAGCTTCGAAAGACTGGCCACGACCCACGCTCCGCCGAGGAAGGCTTTAAAGTGGGTGCTTCGCCTGGATGCCAGCGTGGCATGGACCAGAACATAGTGCGGAAAGCCCGCATCACGCAGACAACCTCCAAAGGCGTCAAGAAGCGGGCGAGTAAAATCCTGTTGCGATGCAGGGTGGTCGGATTGGCCCCCATGTGCCTTTAGAGGCCTCCTAGATGGGGTCGGAGTAGGCGGGGTCGGAACATCTCCCCGCATCGCCGTTGCATCGGCGATGCATTGGCGATGCACTGGCAACGTCGGCGATGCACCTGCAACGTCGGCGTGGAGAATATAGGGCTCCACATCGAGCCGCATCGCCGATGCATCGGCGATGCGGCGTTATCCTGCGACCTCATCCACTCGGACCCTATCTGGGAAGCCCAGACTTAGGTCGGGCATGTCCTCCTACATGCGGATCTTGGAAGAAAAATTAGCCTGGCGAAGAACCCAACCATATGCAGTTGTCAGTACCGCAGCTGCGGGTTTCATCTTCAATGGAACTCCCCATAGGACTACGGAACGTGTGAGGGGTGTGCCGAGATGGGTGCCACTGGGGCATTCGGCGAAGCTCCCTATGGGGACATGAAACACGCGCGGGGCGTGCCGACATGGGTGGCGGAAACGCATGTGCAGGCCGCCACTGGGGCCTCCAGTGGAGCTCCCTATGGGTCCCCGAAACATGATGCTGCTGCGGGGGGGGGCCGGGATGGGTGGCGGAGACGCATGTAAGCGCCGCTACTGGGGCCTTCGGTGGAGCTCCCTATGGGGCCACGAAGCGCGTGAGGGGTGTACTGGGATGTGTGGCGGGGACGCATGTGAGCGCCGCCACTGGGGCCTTCGGTGCAGCTCTCTATGGGGCCACGAAACGTGTGAGGGGTGTGCCGAATTGGGTGCGGGTGGTGACGCATGCAGGCGGTGCCACTGGGGCCTTCGGTGGAGCTCCCTATGGGGCCACGAAACCTGTTGTTGTGAGGGGCGTGCTGGGATGGGTGGCGGGTACGCATGTGAGCGCGGCCGCTGGAGCCTTCGGTGGAGCTCCCTATGGGGCCACGAAACGTGTGAGGGGTGTGCCGAATTGGGTGGGTGTGGGTGACGCATGTGAGCGCCGCCACTGGGGCCTCCGGTGGATGGGGCCACGAAACCTGTCAGGGATGTGCCCAAATGGGTGTGCGGGACGCATGCGCATGTGAGCGCCGCCACTGGGGCCTTCGGTGGAGCTCCCTATGGGGCCACGAAACGTGTGAGGGGTGTGCCGAATTGGGTGTGCGGGACGCATGCGGGCGGCAGCACTGGGGCCTTCGGTGGAGCTTCCTATGGGGCCACGAAACGCGTGAGGGGTGTGCCGAATTGGGTGTGCGGGACGCATGCGGGCGGCAGCACTGGTGCCTTCGGCGGAGCTCCCTATGGGGCCACGAAACGTGTGAGGGGTGTGCCGAATTGGGCGTGCGGGACGCATGCGGGCGGCAGCACTGGGGCCTTCGGTGGGGCTCCCTATGGGGCCACGAAACGTGTGAGGGGTGTGCCGAATTGGGTGTGCGGGACGCATGCGGGCGGCAGCACTGGGGCCTTCGGCGGGGCTCCCTATGGGGCCACGAAACGTGTGAGGGGTGTGCCGAATTGGGCGTGCGGGGCGCATGCGGGCGGCAGCACTGGGGCCTTCGGTGGGGCTCCCTATGGGGCCACGAAACGTGTGAGGGGTGTGCCGAATTGGGTGTGCGGGACGCATGCGGGCGGCAGCACTGGGGCCTTCGGTGGGGCTCCCTATGGGGCCACGAAACGTGTGAGGGGTGTGCCGAATTGGGTGTGCGGGACGCATGCGGGCGGCAGCACTGGGGCCTTCGTCCCTATGGGGCCACGAAACGTGTGAGGGGTGTGCCGAATTGGGTGTGCGGGACGCATGCGGGCGGCAGCACTGGGGCCTTCGGTGGGGCTCCCTATGGGGCCACGAAACGTGTGAGGGGTGTGCCGAATTGGGTGTGCGGGACGCATGCGGGCGGCAGCACTGGGGCCTTCGGTGGGGCTCCCTATGGGGCCACGAAACGTGTGAGGGGTGTGCCGAATTGGGTGTGCGGGACGCATGCGGGCGGCAGCACTGGGGCCTTCGGTGGGGCTCCCTATGGGGCCACGAAACGTGTGAGGGGTGTGCCGAATTGGGTGTGCGGGACGCATGCGGGCGGCAGCACTGGGGCCTTCGGTGGGGCTCCCTATGGGGCCACGAAACGTGTGAGGGGTGTGCCGAATTGGGTGTGCGGGACGCATGCGGGCGGCAGCACTGGGGCCTTCGGTGGGGCTCCCTATGGGGCCACGAAACGTGTGAGGGGTGTGCCGAATTGGGTGTGCGGGACGCATGCGGGCGGCAGCACTGGGGCCTTCGGTGGGGCTCCCTATGGGGCCACGAAACGTGTGAGGGGTGTGCCGAATTGGGTGTGCGGGACGCATGCGGGCGGCAGCACTGGGGCCTTCGGCGGAGCTCCCTATG